GAGACCCAGACTCCCAGCTACTTGGGAGGCTGAGACCTCAGCTGAGACCCAGACTCCCAGCTACTTGGGAGACTCGCTTGAGCCCAGGAGTTGGAGGTTGCTGTGAGCGTGATGCCATGGCACTCTACCCAGGGGGACAGCTTGAGGCTCCGTTTCAAAAATAATAATAATAATAATAACCCTAGGATGTGGCTACTGCTATTGCCTCCACCTGGCCAGCACCAGCACTGACTTTTTCTTTTTGCAGTTTTTGGCCAGGGCTGGGTTTGAACCCACCACCTCTGGCATATGGGGCTGGCGCCCTACTCCTTTGAGCCACAGGTGCCACCCAAGCACTGACTCCTTTTAAGAGGCCAACTGGCCAGGCACAGCGGCTCATGCCAGTAATCCTCACATTCTAGGAGGCCAAGGCAGGAGGATCCCTTGAGCTCGGGAGTTTGAGACCAGCCTGAGCTAAGAGCAAGAAGCCCTCTCTGCTAAAAGTAGAAAAAAATCAGCCAGGTGTTGTGGCAGGCACCTGTAGTCCCAGCTACTCGGGAGGCTTAGGCAGAAGGGATTGTTTGAACCCAGGAGTTTGAGGTTGCTTGAGTTAGGCTGACACCTTGACAGTCTAGCCTGGGGCCACGTGAGACTCTTGGTTGGTTTTTTTTTTTTGAGGAAAAAGTGTCCAACCACCACAGTGCGTTTAGTCTTCTACCTCTTCGCATTATCAGTGCAGCTTGGAATAGCAAACAAATACACCTGACATTTTACTGGGAATTCTGCCACCCACAAAGCATTCGCTGTTTTAGTCTGTCCATCAGATGTGACATGTCACATGACTCATGCAAGCATGCTACTTAATAAGTCAATAATGGTTAACACCCCAAAACGGGAGCCAAAGACCACAGAACCCCCAGCATTTATCAATCCCAAGAGGATACCCAAGACATGTTCTAGAAAGTAAGTCTCCAATGAAACTTAAAATTATAGAATTTTAGAGCAGGAGGGATCTTAACGGTTATGTGAAATCAAATACCTTAATTTCCAGAAGTGAAAAATTGAGACTAAGAGGCAGTGACTTGGTCAACATCCCCCAAAGAGGAGACAAGCTACAAATTCACTCCCAGCTCCTGTCCTATACTCCTTCCACTATCTGTGCACCCCCAATCCACTGTGACCCCAAAGTTCTAAGGCACTCATTTCTCTTAACCACCCAATACTTATTTAAAAGGCAGAGTTTAATCTACAGTTTCACTTGCCCTTTAATCCATTCACTCCCCAGAAATGCTAAGAGAAACAGCTGCCAATGGGAAGACAGAGACAGCAGCAGGAAGAAGCCTTGGGCGAACCGACTGCCCCAAACAGTTTTCCACAGTCTTGGCTGGCTCACCACACAACTGTCCCCTGTCCTTGTTAACTTTAGCAGGGAACAGATAAGAAGCACTAAGGGGGGGGGTGGGGGGTGAGGGGGAACAATGCCTCCACTCAGGAGGACGGACTTCTTTCTCCTAGCTAGGAGTCCCTCCAGGCTCCTGGGGGAAGGAAGGTACAGAAGAACCTGACCAACAAATAACTGGGCAAACTACTTATTCTTTCTGAGCCCGTTTACCCATAAAGGAATATTACCTTATACCTTCTATGGTAATTGGAAACATTAATGGGATAATATTTCAAAAAAAAAGCCTGGGACAGCCTGCTTCCCACTGTACCCTGTGTGTGTGATGGGGTCTCCTTCTTAGATTTTTAATTAAAATTAAATAAAACTAAATACAAAATAAAACTTGGGCGGCACCTGTAGCTCAAAGGAGTAGGGCACTGACCCCATATGCCAAAGGTGCCCGGTTTCAAACCCAGCCCTGGCCCAAAACTGCAAAAAATAAAGTAAAAACAACTCAGTCACACTAGTCACATAATTCAGTGTTCAACAGCCACATGTGTCCAGGAGACTGGAGAGCACAAACAGAACATCACAGGAAGTTCTACTGTGTCTCTCCTTCATCTAAGCCTAGACTTCAGCAAACAGAAGTCTTACAGAATTTTCTTACCAATTGGTCTAATCCACAGCCTCTGCCACTGCCTTAAAGGCCTCACAAATTAACACTGAAAGTCACCTGCTTCCAGTTCTACCCGTCTCATGCCACACAGTTTCCAGAGGGACATTGCTGACACTTCTGAAGCAGTCTTTCAACTGCCTTCCATTAGTGTGAAATACATATTTGGTCTTCATCACCCCTCCCCTTTCTGTCATACTCCTAAAATCCTGGTATCTCCAAAGGGCTTTTTTTTTTTTTGGAGACAGAGAGCAACCTCCAACTCCTGGGCTTAAGCAATTCTCTTGCCTTAGCCTCCCAAGTAGCAGGGACCACAACACCCAGCTATTTTCTATTACAGTTGTCCAGGTTCAAACCCGCCAGCCTCACTGTATGTGGCTGGCACAGTAACCACTGTGCACAAGCACCGAGCCACAACCTCAAACTCTTGAGCTCAAGAGATCTTCTTGCCTTAGCCTCCTGAGTAGCTGGGACTACAGGCATCTGCCACAATACCCAGTTAATTTTTCTATTTTTAGGAGGGATGGGGTCTCACTCTTGCTCAGGCTCATCTCCAACTCCTGAGAAGCTCAAGTAATCCACCTGCCTCAGCCTCCCACAGCACACAACTGTCCCCTGGTTCAGAACAAATCCTTTTAATAAAGAGATTTGTTCTGTGAAGTTTGGATTCTGTTGAAGGGCTACACTTGGGGGATCTAGAGGGCCACATGTGGCCCCAAGGTCACAGGTTTCCCACCCCTGCAAGAGGTGACCACACGTGTCCTATGGCAAAAGGACAAAACCTCACCTAACAAGTGCCCTTGTCAATTCCCAGGCTCAAACAAAGAAAAGCTGAACACCAGTTTTCTGGGCATAGGTGTTCAAAAGCTTAGCCACAACCAGAGATCTTGGTCACCACTGCCACCACCTTGCTCCAGGTTGCCCCTACCTCTCAGAGGCCCTTGCTTCCTCCAAACAAGTCTCCCAAGCACAGTCAGACTGACTGTTCTTTTTTTAATATCCTTCAATAAAAGCTGATAGACTGTTCAAAAGCCCACAAACCATTTCTCTCTTCAAGTTCAACAGTCAAATCCTCCCCTCTGGCTGCTGAAGCTGGCTTGCTCGTGTCCTGTCTCAGACCCTGCACTCTGTAAAACTCCCAGGTCCTTCTGTTCTGGTCTCTACTGGGAACACTTCCTCGCTCCTCCCAGCTGTCCAACTCCTACCTTCTGTTAGCCTCAATAGGAGAAGCAGCTAAGGGCACGGTGTGCTTCAGAGAACAAAGTTTGGTGGTTCTCTTTGCTTACTTAAAACTCCCTCCCACACCCCCTCTTGAAACGTTTTTCATTAAGGAGGACAATACATCTCCGGCCACCCCACTCCCCCGTGAAGCTCTGCTCCAGCCACACATCCTGGATTCCAAAACTAGTGTACTTGGCACGCCTCTCTGCCTCTTCACAAGCTGTCTGTCCACTTTGCCTGGAATGACCCTGGCAAACCTCTCAACTTCAACCTTCCAGAATCAGCTCACCTATTACCTATCACCACCTCCCCTCTCCCCTCAAGAAGCCCTCCTTAACATTTACCCCTTCCGGCTCCGTGCCTGTGGCTCAAGTGGCTAAGGCGCCAGCTACCTACACGCAAGGTGGCGGGTTTGAATCCAGCCCGGGCCACCAAACAACAATGGCGGCTCCAACCAAAAAATAGCCGAGCATTGTGGTGGGTGCCTGTGGTCCCAGCTACTTGGGAGGCTGAGGCAGCAGACTCACTTGAGCCCAGGAGTTGGAGGTTGCTGTGAGCTGAGATGCCCCAGCACTCTACCCAGGGGGACAGCTTGAGGCTCTGTCTCAAAAAAAAAATAAATAAATAAATTTACCCCTTCCCAAGAATCCCACCTGGACCCAGCTAAGGTTCAATGCCACTCACTACACTGTTACCACCAGGTAAAAAAAACGATTACTTCTCTAACTGATCTCTCCAACAAGGTCCTGACTGCTAGGGGTTGTTGTCTCTATCTCTGATGCCACTTCTGGAACCTATAAGGCATTTTATTAAAAGGTCAGTTCCATGAATGAAAAAATTAAAACACAACCTAAAATCATTCTGATGTGGCCTAAACTCCCTCACCCCTTAGCTCTGCCTTCCTCCACCCGGCAGATCGCCTGTCCTCTTGACTTCCAGTGCAGCCATATGAGTCTCAGCAGAGCATTAAAAGTTAAACACTGTCTCTTCTTTGGCCTCAATGCACTAGTAAACACAAAGGCACTCACCGGCACTGGGATCACACCCCAAGTTAGATTATAGAGTTGTCTTCAGGCAATGTGTTACACTCTTCATTTAAATTATCTTTAAGAATTCACAAACCCTGGGAATACGTTCACGGCTGCTTCACAGGTCCCTGGGCCTTGAGTGTGAGAAACCCAGCCTTGAGATCAGCGCAGAGGGAGCCACGGTGTCTGAAGGCCTCAGGGTGGGTGGCAGAGAGAGAGGAGGGGAGGCTGAGGGTGGTGGGACGGGGACTCCAGGGATGCCGGTGGGGCTAAGGACAAATGTACGAGGACTTCTACACAGGAAAGGCGGGGAGGCCTCGGGCTAAGGGAATTGTGATGAGGCCTGGCGGGGAGGCCCATGACGGAACCTTAAAGGTCTCTGGAACCAAGAGTTCTCAGGGGTCCCAGGGCCCAAAAGCGGCCGAGGCTAGAGGTAACCTCGAAGAGTTTCGGGGTTCAAGGGTTTCGGAGGTTGTCGAGGCCAGAGGTGGCCGGGAACTCCCAGAGGGTCTCGGGAGCCAGGAGTCCTGGAGGGTCTGGGCGGACCCCAAGGGGGTCTCGGAGTCCTGAGGGAATAATGAACGGGGGGGGGGGCAGGAATCGAGGTGTGTCGGGGCCTATAGTGGCCCCGGGAGTCAGGGATCCTGCGAGGACCGGAGCGGATCCGGAGGGTCTCTCCAGGCAGGGTCCCAGCGCCTGCCCCAACCCGCCCCCTCACCTGCGGCGCCTGCTAGACGCTGGTCCGAGCTCGCGCTCCAGCCGCCTCCTCCTCCGCGGCCGGCGACGTCTCGGGGTCCCTTAGCGGCCGCGCGCCCCTCACGCTGGGCGGGGCCGGAGAGGACGGCCCTCGGGGTGGGGACTGCGCGCGCAGCCGGGGCGGGAACCGGAGCCGGGACGAGAACCGGAGCCGGGACGGAAATCGGGGAGGGGCGGACGCCGCACCACTTCCAGCCGCTGCCCCTCAGTACCGTTCCTCGCGCGCCCGCCCTAGCTGAGCGAAGGTTCCGCCCAGAAACCAACGGCCCGGCGGCGCTCCGGGGCCCCTCCCCGGGGAGGGGCGGGGCCAAGGCACGCGCCCCGCCCGAGCCGCTGGTCCCGCCCACCGGTGAGGCCCCGCCCCGCAGTCTCTGGAGCAGGCGCAGTCGGGTGTACGGGGAGCAGTCGGGGGTCGGAATCTGCGTCCGAGGCCTTTTTCGCCCCAGGCTGCTTCCTGTTTTCAGTTTACTTATCTGCAGAATGGGGCAGGCGCACGTTGCAGGGACTTGGCCAGCATTAAGTGCGATTGGAACTGCTCTCCAGCTATGTCCTGCCACACTCATGCCCACTTCCCATCCTCAACCTGAGACGAGTCCAGACCCCTGCGAGTCTCAGTCCTCAGTCCCGTGCCTGCCCAAATAGCCAGTCCCTTCCCCAGTCCTGCTTTCAGGATGCTCATCACTCTGAAATTACTTGAACTTGTGACTGTCTCTCTCCTTTCCAGTGAGAGCCCTCACCTTGTTCATCCTGTCTCCTTCTGGGTCCCCAGAAGCTGGCGCCAGGCTGGGCACACCGTGGGTACCAAATATTTGCACTTGCGTGAACGTCCTCTGGCGCTCTTCCCTCATCAGGAAATGCTCTTCCTTGAGGCTGAGAATGGGTCCAGTGTAGGTTCTAATGCCAGTGAGGCCCTGTGACTTCTGCAGCGTCCCTGCCCCAGGCCCTGTGTCTGTAAAACAGGGCTGATCCTACACCTACCTCTGGGGGCTGCTGAAAGGACTAAATGAGACTATGGGTAGGTGGGCTGGGCACAGGACTCCGCGGCTGGACGAGTGTCCCCTAGTGATCCTATTACTTGGGTGGTCTCCTCCTCCCTGTTCTCTCTGCCATTGAAAGCCTTTCCCTTCCCTAAATGAGAGGCAGTGGAATCAAGCCACTTCCTCTTCCCAGCCTACCCTGCCCAAGCCAGAGTAAATTATTACTTCCTCTCTCTTTTTTTCTCCCTTTTTTCTGCCTGATTTTACAGTGGGCTGTTGACATCTCCCCCACCCCAGCTCACAGGAAGCTGGCATTTTGTGACAAAAGCTGGTCTTGTGACTTTCAACAGCCTATGAGACTGTGGTGGCCTAGAACTCTGTGGGGCAGTGACCTGGGGATGGAGAAAACAGCTGCCAGGCTCCTGTGTGGGGTGGGGCACCTGCCTGGGCACTGGGCTGATGTCCTGCAACAACCTGTCAGGGAGGTGTCTTCATTAGTATTCCAGTTCACAGAAGGGGAGGCCTGGGGAGGTTGCCCAGGCTGTTCCACGCCCCAGCCCACATGTTTAACCACTGCATACAGCTTTCCATACCCTAGTTGTATGATTTTTATTTTAATTGGGTTTTTTTTGTTGTTTTGTTTGAGACAGAGTCTCACTTTGTTGCCCTTGGTAGAGTGCATGGCATCATAGCTCACAGCAACCTAAAACTCTTGGGCTCAAGCGATTCTCTTGCCTCAGCCTCCCCAGCAGCCAGGACTACAAGTGCCTGCCACAAAAGTCTACTATTCTTAAAGATGGGGGGGTTGTCTCACTCTTGGTCAGGCTGGTCTCAAACACAGGTGAGCCACCTACCCCAAGTCTGGATGCGTGATTTAAATTTAATGCCATTCTGTTCATGAGCTCCTGCTCCCAGGCTGACTGTTGGGACCATGTACCTGTGGGAGACAAGGCCCTGCCCTTGAGGGGCCCTCAGGCCCCAGCAAGGACTTTGATAAATGGAAGTTTATGGATGACATGCAACAGAGGCCAGCCTCAAGGTGCAGGGTGTGGTCCTCTAAGGCCTAGGGCAGTGGAACTGGAGTAATTGTTACCTCCAGCCAAGTTTAGCCCCATTTAAGACACAGGTAAGGAGGGTGACAGCTTGAGGCTCTGTCTCAAAAAAAAATTGCAAACTGACCTTGAGAGACAGAATTTGGATCCAATTAGCAAGGGCCATAAGGAAAGTTCACAGGAAGATGGACATTTCCTCTCCATTCTGGTAGTACTTTCATGGGTGTGTATATATGTTGAAATTTATCAAATGCATGTTTTCTTTGTTTCAGAGACAGGGTCTCACCTGTCATCCACACTGGAGTGCAGCGGCCTGATCACAGCTCATGGTAACCTCAAAATCCCTGGGCTCAACCCATCCTCCTGCCTCACCTCCTAAGTAGGTGGGACTACAGGTACACTACCACACCTGGCTAGTTTTATTTTTATTCGCAGAGACAGAGTCTCCATATGTTGTCTAGGCTGGTCTCAAACTCCTGGCCTCAAGTAATCCTCCTGCCTTAGCCTCCCAAAGTGTCAGGATTAAAATGCATGAGGTTTGTTTGTTTTGTTTGTTTTTTCTTTTTTTTTTTGAGACAGAGCCTCAAGCTGCCCCCCTGGGTAGAGTGCCGTGGCATTATAGCTCACAGCAACCTCCAACTCCTGGGCTCAAGCGAGTCTCCTGCCTCCGCCTCCCAAGTAGCTGGGACCACAGGCACCCGCCACAGCGCCCGGCTATTTTTTTTTTTTTTTTTTGGTTGCAGCCGTCATTGTTGTCTGGCGGGTCCGGGCTGGGGATTCGAACCCGCCACCCTAGGTGTACGTGGCTGGCGCCCTAGCCGGTTGAGCTATAGGCGCCGAGCCTTGTTTGTTTTTTCAAGCAGAGTCTCACTGTCACCCTGGGTAAAGCACCATGGTGTCATAGCTCACAGCAACTTCAAACTCTTGGGCTTCAAAGTGCTAGGATTATAGGCATAAAAGGCGCCTGTAGTCCCAGCTGCTTGGGAGGCTGAGGCAAGAGAATTGCTTAAGCCCAAGAGTTAGAAGTTGCTGTGAGCTGTGACCCCATAGCATACTACCCAAGGCAACAGCTTGAGGCTCTGTCTCAAAAAAATAAAATAAAATAATAATTCTTAAAAATGTTTATATCCTCACATAGTAGAAAGAACTAGGAAGCTTTCCAGAGTCTCTTTTGTAAAGGTAATAATCCTCTCCTGAGGCCTTCACCCTATTAACCTCCCCAGAGTCTCCCACTCCATCATATTGAGGTTAGGATTTCAACATGTGAAGCGGGGGCACACATTCAGTCCATAACTGTGGCCCTGGAGGACGAGTCGGGCTTTGCAGGGCTGTCTCCCTGGCTCACAGTCAAGTGGGACTGTGATTTTATCTTGGCCACCCCAAAAGGGGAAGCAGTTTTCCTCCCTGGCTCAGAAGAGGGAGTCAGTCTTTAGAAAGTCTTTTGTTTGTTTTTATTGAGACAGGGTCTTGTTTTGTTGCCCAGGCTGGAATATAGTTGGTCATCATAGTAATCTTCCTGCCTCAGCCTCTGGAGTAGCTGGGACTACAGGGACCCACCACCACACCCAGTTGATTTTTATATTTTTTTGTAGAGATGGGGTTTCAATCTTGCTTATGCTGGTCTCGAACTCCTGGCCTCCCAAAGTACTGTAATTATAGGCAAGAGCCACCACGCGTGGCCTGAACAAGTCTGAATGGAGACCCTGGACTAGGACAGCCCTCTCACCCCACTGGCTGACTTGGTGTCCTGCAGCTCCACCTGGCAGTGTTCCTGTTACTACAGGTGACATTAAACTCACTCATACCTTCCCATTGTGCTGGACTGGGAGAAGCCAGCTGAGCTATAGTGTAGCTCCAGGGTGCTGGAAATGAATCCTTCCCATCAGCCCATTTTACAGATGTGGAGATTGCAATGGGAGGGGAGTGGGCGGGGTTCAAGTAATTCCCAGGTTCAGGCTCAGTCCTCACCACTGTTAGTCCTCTGCCCTGCACCTTTCCAGAAATAATCCAAGCCCTCAATATGGTATCAACTCATTCATTTACTTTCTCATTCATTATGTAAACTGGAAATCTTAGGAAGATTTTATTGAGAGCTTTCCAGCAGTTGGCAACACACCCTGGTTCAACTTCAGTCAGGTCAGGGTGTGAACAGACCCAGGGAGGATGCTGCCCCCCTGTGGGTGGTGCTCGGCTCAGTCCTGGAGCTTGCTGGGATATACTTCAGCCCTGTCCAGGGGCAGTCCCCGGTTCACAGACGTGTAGGAAGGCTCTGAGGTCCCCAGCGACTTAGGGACAGCCTCCTGAGTGATCTGGGAGTCGTGCGTTGTTTCCCCATCAGAACTCCCCATGTCCCTGGCCAAGAAGATGGAGAGAGCCAGTATTAGGGGAGCAGAGCAAACCCACCCTCCTTGGGCTGGTCGTGGTCCTTCGTATGTAGACCGACACTGCTCTCACAGACGCCATCTTAGGCTTTCACTCAACCAACCAATCTTCCTGGGGGCACTTACTCCGTGCCTAGCCCTAGGAATGAGGAAAGTGACAACATCTTGAAACTAGGTGGACAATTTGTAGGCCTTACTCTGAGCTGGACCATTGGAGGCCATTGTTCTGCATCCCTAAAGAGCCAAGAATGTGTGGAGAGACAGATCACAACAGATAATGACCGACAAGCACAGGTGGAGCCACTGGAAGGCTTCCTGGAAGAGGTGGCAGCTGATCTGGTCCTAAAGAAGGGTCAGGGTAGAGAGAGGCACCGGTGTGAGGTCACCGGGTCTGATGTATGCAGGGCTGAGGGGTGTCTGGGGCTACAGTGGGAAGTTTGGCTGGGATGGAGCCAGAGCAGGGTGGAGGTGTTAGAGAGGTAAAGGGAACAGCCAGGTTGAATTCAGATTACAGGGCCTTAGATGCCAGATTAGAGCACTGCCCAAAGGAAGGGAAGGACACAATTATGTTCTGACCACGCCCAGATCCAGCAAGTACAGTCTCTTGGTAGCTAAGGTCATCTACTATTTGTGTTTTATTAACTTAATGTCAACCTGATTTCCAAGTTCACCACACCTCCCTTTCCCATGCCCCACCCCCTCTACCTTCCTTCTCCCCCCACCCTCCCACCCCGCTGGTTTCCAGGTATCCACTTAATTATACTTTTCTTTTTCTTTTTTTTTTGAGACAGAGCCTCAATCTGTCGCCCTGGGTAGAGTGCTATGGCATCTCAGCTCAGGTGTATGTGGTTGGCGCCTTAGCCGTTTGAGCCAGAGGCAACAAGCCTTAATTATACTTTTCTATCTTCTCTACCACCACCCCCAGGGACTCCTGATCCTCCTCAGAACTCCCAGGGCTCCCTCCCTGTCACTGAGGAGGGTATAGCACTTGAGGCCCAGCCTTCCTCCTGGAAGCCCAGCCTGGTGCTAAAGGCAGGTCTGCCCTGCTTTCTTCTGGTTTCCCACAGCACCTATGAGTCCTCCCAAGTATTAATGGAGTGTGTCTTCCTAGCTGGCAGCCCTATTAGCCCTGTTACACCTCATGGGAAACCTGAGTCAAGTCCTAATCTACAGCAGACACAAACCAGAGGTGTTAGTGGAGTCTGGAGACCTGGGTTCTAGTCCCAGGCTACATGCCTCGGGCCACCCTTCCCTGCCACCTTCCCTATGCCAAGTGTCAGTTTCCCCTTCTGTACTGCAAGTGGGTGAATTATAATGACAATAAAAGCAAATACGTGTCAAGCTCCTGGCACTTCCCTGAGGACTCATAAGGATCATTCCATATAACCTTCACAATTTCAGGGGGCAAATATTTTTCTCCATTTTCCAGACAGGGAAACAGGAATGGAAAGATAACATGCCTTGTCCAGGGTTGCACAACTCTGGTGTCAGAGCTAAGATCTGGGTTGGCTGATGCCCAGAAAGCCCAGTGCAGAGCCCCTTCCCTCAGCCGAATGACTTGACCTTGAAGGCCCTGCAGCCTTGATATCTGGGACTCTGCTCCCCTTTGTGGAAAGTAAACTCCCTTGCCTCCTTGGAGCATGTCCAGGAGTCCAGCCCTCCCAGTGGGCAGCTGGCAGGTACTCACACAAAGCTGAGGATAATGGCACCAGCAAAGCCCACAAGCAGGAAGAAGGGCAGGGAGCCCAGGATGGAGGTGATGACAATCATGCCTCCACTCCGCCGGCCTGGCCACGTGTCGATCGTCGAGTATGGGGTGACTGCAGTGGGACGGGGACACAGCCCAGTTACTCCCCAGGTGCTGAGCTACCAGCAACCTTCCCTAGGGAGGTGGCTGTGTTCCCCTGCTCCAGCTGCTGGGGATACAGGGATGAGCTGGGACTCAGTTTGCTGACTCTCCTTCTCAGGTTTCAGGCACAGTTACTCTGTCTGTGCCGCATACCTCTTCCCAACTTTCCTGTGGTTCTGGCCTCTTCCTCTTGCTTTTTTTCCCCTCCCTCCATTGCCCAGGCTACAGTGCCATGGCCTCAGCCTAGCTCACAGCAACCTCAAACTCCTGGGCTCAAGCGATCCTCCTGCCTCAGCCCCCTTAGTAGCTGAGACTACAGGTTTGCATTACCATGCCTGGCTAATTTTTCTCATTTTAGTAGAGACGGGGTGGGGGATCTTGCTCTGGTTCAGGATGGTCTTAAACTCCCTGAGTTCAAGGGATCCTCCCACCTTGGCCACCTACAGTGCTGGGATTAAAGGTGTGAGCGACCCCTCCTGGCCTTCTTTTTACATATTTTTAAATTATAAACTAACTCAAGTCTTCTGGCAAGATAGATGAGAAACAGATTATAAACAATTAAAACAAATACAAGGCACAAGGTCTTGGTCTAACAGGAGTATATAGGTGGCTCTTGCTTTTCTAAGACCTCATCTATGGACAGGCAGAATCCCCAAGTGCACGTACCCAGAGAGCTGGGACTGTACTTCTGGCTGTTTCCCCAAAGGCACCCTGTAGGGGCCCAGTAAGAACTCTTTTTCAAACTTCCCAGATGAAGAAACTAAGGGCCTGAAGGGCTTGCATGGGAGTGAGGGCCAGAAGCTGGGCTTGGCCCTCAGTCCCAGGGGTCCTAAGGCTGTTTCAGGAGCACCAGGATTCCTAGGAATGCCAGGGAGGGATGGGCAGGCAGTGAGGATGGGAGGGGTCACCCCAGCGGCACACCCTCACACTCACACTGACGTGCATTTCCCACACACACACTCACGCTCACACACCACTCTACCCCACTCATCAGCCTGTGACCCCAGGCAACCTTTCAGAGCTGCAGCTCCCACCTGCCCATCCTACCTTGCAGTCTTGTCTGGGGGTAGAGGGAGGAGGAGCCCTAAGTTAGGATCTCATACAGTTAGAATGACCTTCCAAGTCCCTCACATGGACCCTAATGTTCGGTAGACACCATTTTATTTGTCTAAACCTTGGGTCTCTGCTGAGGATCCCAAATGATGGCTAGGAAGCAACAGGGCAGGACCCCAGTCCGCTCCGGCACCCTCCCAGCCCTTCTGCCCTCAAGAAAGCCATCCAGGGCAGCGCCTGTGGCTCACGGGAGTAGGGCGCCGGCCCCGTATACTGAAGGTGGCGGGTTCAAACCCAGCCCCGGCCAAAAACTGCGAAAAAAAAAAAAAAAAAAGAAGCTATCCTGTTGTGGGGAAGGGGTGATGAGGGGGATGTGTTCCAATGTTGTAGGGAAGGGGTGGGGAGTGGGTGTGTGTGGTTCTCTTGCTGCCTCCTCTGTCTGTCTCAGGCCTCTGGAACCATCTCGGAAGGTCATAGAGGTTCAAGCTATGTGCCCCTTGGGGCCAACACACCAGATGGCTGGACAGGCTTTGACTTCAGTTACACCTGCCATCTGGCCTAAACCCCACCAAGTCCTCCACCTTGAACTGTTTCAACAGGAGGCCCTCCAGGACTGGAGGGAGGAAGGAGGAAGTTCCAGGTTAAACTAGTCCTGAGCCTGGGGAGGCATTTGTAGGTATAGACAGTATGAGTGTTGTTGTTATGGTCCCACCTGCCCCTTGAGGCCCTTGAGGAAGTTGGAATCCCACAGGCAGGACTTGGCGCTCACACGCTACTTACGCCACTTGGTGCGGATGGGGTCCGACCACAGGGTCTGGTCCTGTACCAAGCCTGTGGACATACTGACGAGGACGTACTTGAACCTGGAAGGAGGCCGGGCAAGGGTGATTCCATCCTTCCCATGAGCCCTAGCCACAGGGAGATGGGGGTGCAGGATGGCCTGGTGGTTGGGGCAGAGGAAGGCTACCAGGAGAGGGGAATGGAGATAGATAGCCACTGTGTGGGCTCTGGGCAACAGGACAGAGCTGGACTTGGCAGCAGCTCTGGGCCACACTGGATCCCCTGGACGCCTCCCCAGCTTAGATGCCACCTCCTCCGAGAAGCCTTCAGAGTCAGCACCCCTCCTCTAGGCACACCTCTCAGAGCCCCTCTGCTTCCTGAGCATATCTTTAGTGTACCTGTTCTCCTTGCATTTCTTTTTTTCTTTTTTTTTTTTTGAGACAGAGTCTTACTTTATCACCCTTGGTAGAGTGCTGTGACATCACAGCTCACCACAACCTCAAGCTCTTGAGCTTAAGCAATTCTCTTGCCTCAGCCTTCCAAGTAGCTGGCATTACAGGTGCTGGCCACAATGCCCAGCTGTTTTTAGAGATGGGGTCTCGCTCTGGCTCAGGCTGGTCTTGAACTCCTGAGCTCAAGCAGTCCACCCACCAGGGCCTCCCAAAGTGCTGAGATTACAAGTGTGAGCTACAGTGCCTGGCTCTGTTTTTTGTTTTTAGACAAAGCCTCAATCTGTCGCTCTGAGTAGAATGCCATGGCATCACAGGTCACAGTTCACAGCAACCTCAAACTCCTGGGCTCAAGCAATCATCTCAGCCTCCCAAGTAGCTGGCACCATAGGTGCCTGCCCCAATTCCTGAGTAGTTTTTCTATTTTAGTAGAGACAGGGTCTTGTTCTTGCTTACACTGATCTCCAACTCCTGAGCTCATGGGCTCCTCCTGCCTCAGCCTCCCAGAATGCTGGGATTACAGCCATGAGCTCCTGGCCAGGAGTCCTTGGCTAAATTCTCAACTTCTCTCTATTCCCAAGATGGGAATTCCAGAGGTGGTGCTGTCCTCAAGGCAGGCTTGCAGATGAAGTCAGAGGAGAGATGGCTGGCTTCCTTTGAGGTTGAAGAGGAGCGAGAGGCTCCTCAAGTTAGCATCATTTGTGGGGCCTACTGCAAAATTAAAGTGTAGGCCCCACAAACGTGGGCTCCTCAGAGTTGCACATCAGGAAGTCGGCGCTGCCTGGGACCTGGGTGGTGCTAGCCTGTAAGCTCTCGACATACATGGCTGCCCCATGTATGTCCCACTTCATCCCCCACTGCATCTTCCCAATCTGGGCTGGGGCTCAGTTGTGGCTGCTCACACCCACCTGTACTCCGTGGCCCCCAACAGGGGTGGGTTGCAAAGGCCCTGGAAGTTGGGGTCCCACAGGCAGGTGGAGTTGGTGCCCACCCTGACCAGGTATGCATTCAGGATCTGCGAGGCCTGGGACACATCCCCAACAGCATCCAGGCTGGGCAAGTCATTGCAGGGGGTGAGGTCAAAGGCCGCAGCTTTGTAGGGGCCTGTCCGCCCGCCCTCCGTTTGTTGAAATGTCGAGTTCAGTGGGGTCTTGGTGCTGTCCTGTACTGACGCATTCCTGGAGCTGGCTGTGGGGGCAGCGGCAGGAGTGAGATTCCTGGCTACTCCAGCTCAGTGTCGCTTGCTCTGTCATTCATCAAACACCCCTGAGCATCCTCTTTGCCCCAGCCCTATGCCAGGCACTGAGGTTACAAGCCCGGGATAAGCTCAGTCTCTCAGCCTCTGTTCTCCTGGTGCAATGGGAGAGATGGACAAGTAGGGCCTCTTGCCTCAGGGGCTATGTCTGGCCCTGACCCTGCTAACAGACTCTTGTCATCTCATTGCTGAAAGCCCTGGATTCTCTCTTCTGTCAAATGGGAAAGGAGGGTCGTGTGGTACAGGGGAAATGATGCCAGGTCCCCGGTCTCCTTCTCACTAGATGGGTGATCTTGGACAGCTCACTCACCCTCTTTGGGCTTATTTTCTGGTCTATGAAGTGGGAAAGGAATACCCCCACAGTGCCCACAGATTAGGCACAGGCAGGTTAGCAATAAACATTTGCTGAAAAAATAAAACTATGACCCTGAACAAGCTGTTGTAAAAAATTGGTTTTTAGAAATGTAGAAGTTGTCCTTGGGCTCCTTCTCCCAGAAGCCTGGTATGCTCACAAGTGAAGAGAGGTCAAGGGCTAGACCAAGCAAGCAGGTCTGAGCAGGTCTGAATGCTTGGTTTTGCCCCACAAATACTGATCTTGAACCTCATATTCTGGGAGGTCTCAGGAAGGACTTGGACTTGAGGATGGTAGAGATAAGGTTCACTCTCCACCTCTGGGAGCTCCAGTGAGTTGCCCACCTTTCTGAGCCTTGATTCCCTGCCCTGTAATGGGGCACCTTAGCTACCTTGCAAGCTGGTTTTACATATTAACTCCAAGGTGTGCATAACACCTAATATGATCTAGGTACTCTGTGATTGGTGTCCCTCTAGTGTAAGGACAGGTCCCTGACCACAGCACCCAGCCCAGGATTGGCCCAGAGTGGATGCCAGAGCAGGTCAGTAAAGAGCAGGGGTAGTTTAATTAAACTACTACAAGGACAGAGCAACCCTCTACCTGCCTCCTCCTTATGGACAGGTCAAAGCCACTTTTGGAGCAGCGAGGGGGAAGCAGGACCATTACCTGAATCGACCAGGACATATAGGTAGATCTCATACATGCCATTGAGAGGCTCTGAGCTGTCAAACATGCAGAGAGGCTTTTCCAAGGCCACGGTGGTGAGTGTGGGGTTGTTAGTGGCAAAGGTCACACTGGCCAGTTGGGGCTGGAGGTTCACAGCTGGAGGAGGCAATGAGGACAGGAACTGCCCCCCAGAAGAACTGCCCACACCCACGGGCACCCTCTTCTCCCCACCCCATCTGCATACAGGTCCCCAGCACCTGCTGTGTGCCAGGCTGTGGGCTTCGCCTCCCCATGGGCCACCTCATGATTGTCTCAGACATGACCCCCCCCACCCAGTCATCCTGGCCAGAAACCCGGCAGTGGGCCAAGCTGCTGCCCTCTCTCCCCCTGCAGACATTCAGTTGCCAAGAACCCTGGTGCGCTTCCTAAGCGTCTCTCTACCCAGCGGCCCAGCCCACCCCCTCTTCACTTGGACCCTGTAACAGGCCCCCCTCTGCTCTCCAGCATGCAAATCCGTCCATGTCACTCCCCTGCTGAGGGCTCTCCGGAACCCTGTGCCAGGTCCTGAAGTTCTGGGCTTTGCCTTCGTTGGGTTTCCACCCCACCCTCTGCAGGCTCCCCTCACCCCATCTCCCCATCTCACCCCAGCTCAGGCCTCACTGATGGGGGGCGGTTCCTTGAACAGGCCTTGCTGCCTCCCCCCTCCACGGACTTGCCCAGCTTCTTCCTCAGGAGAATGATCCTCCTGCATCTCCCCCAGTTCACGTATCATTGTGAGTCTAGGTCTGGTCCCTCCTCTGGCAGACGCGCGTGTGTTGGTCTCTTGCAACACACCATGAGCTGGGCCGTAGCCAACCGTGAGCCCTCATATGCCCACCAGAGGAAGCTCATAACTGTTGGCTATTACTATTATTAATAATAATTTGGTCCCAGAACCAGAAATCAGGGTCCAGGTAGTGCACGCCCCAGGATGCAGCTGCATGCCCTCCCCGGGCACAGTCCCCTCCACTCATTCCCCTCCTACCCGAGCCAAACCGCAGGCAGCCGAGGGAGAGCAGCGCCCAGAGCGGAGGCATGGCCCGGGGGAGGCCGTGAGAGCGCGGGGCGGGAGGTCCAGACGGCGAGCAAGGGCACCTGGGCTGTCCTGCCGAGCACTTGCCGCCCTGGGCGCTCGGCACGCCCCGCCCCCTTCCGCGTCGGCCAATCCGCGGCCTCCTCCACAGCTATTTGCATACTTCCCGGCCCAGGTGTACCAAGACCCGCTTGGTGTGCCAGGGCTCAGATTTATCCCAGTGGGACATTCCCAAGCCTCCCCAAAGAGCCTACTGTGTGTTGAGACCAGGGTGGCGTTTTCACTGCGTCTCTCTCACCTAATGAGATCTTGGAGGCAAGCCAACCTCTCTTGGAGCCTCAGTTTCCGTACTGTGAAATGGGGACGCCAGTTCTACAACTCTTTATGGAGCCCCTGCTATGTGCGAGACACTCACTGGGCTCTTGTGAATCGAAATAGGAAATAATCCTGGGCATGGGAGCTATTGGAAGACCTCCAGTATAACCCTTTCGGTTCACGTGTGCAAAACCCAGGGACGCAGGGAGGGCAGGGACCGACCAGGTCACACGTGGACTCCCTGGAAATGCAGAGGCTAGAATTGGAAACCCCCAGCCTAGGGTTGTTTCAGAAGGGATGGAACATTACATTGCCTGCCTCCGGAGGGGGCTTTGAAAATAGCTATGGGGCTCCTTACCTGCACTGGGGGGGGGGGTGTCTTCTAGCCTCAGAAAACTGTGCACACCTGCCAGTGCACTTAAATAAATTTTACAGGGCCAGGTGTGGTGGCCTACGCCTATAATCCTAGCACTCTAAGATGCCAAGGCAGGAGTACTCTTGAGCTCAGGAGTTTGACACCAGCCTGAGCAAAGGCATGCTCCATCTCTACAAATAAAAATATATATATATATATATCTGGCTCGGTGCCTGTGGCACCAGCCACATACACCTAAGCCAGATACACCTAAGCTGGCGGGTTCGAATCCAGCCCAGGCCCGCCAAACAACGATGACAGCTGCAACCCCAAAATAGCCAGGTGCTGTGGCGGTCACTCTACCAAGGGCGACATAGTGAGATTCTGTCTCAAAAAAAAAAAAAAGAAAGAAAGAAAAAAAGAAGTAATTACAAAGTAAAAATCATCGTTTCATAAGCCCCTTGGTGATAACTGAACACGAAAGAATTCCCTCAATGGATGATGTCGTCACAGGGTGAAAGATTTTTAGAAAAAAGTGCAGAAATCTGAGGACACCAACTTAACCAAATGGCAAAATGGAAAGTGCCCAGCAGTGGGACGAGCTGACCTCATGTGCTGCCTGGTGTCGTGACACAGGGCTCACTGTCATCTATGCTGTGTCCTGCCCAGAACTTTTAACCTGAGTCTGATCAATAAGCAGACAAATCTAAAGTGAGGGACTTCCTGCAAACCAGCTGGCCTGGATGCTTTGAAAATAGCCACATTGTCGGCTCGGTGCCTGTGGCTCAAGTGGCTAAGGTGCCAGCCACATACACCTAAGGTGGCAGGTTCGAATCTAGCCTGGCCCGCCAAAACAACAATGACGGCTGCAACCAAAAAATAGCCAGGCGCTGTGGCAGGTGCCTGTGGTCCCAGCTACTTGGGAGGCTGAGGCAGGAGACTCGCTTGAGCCCAGGAGTTGGAGGTTGCTGTGAGCTGTGATGCCACAGCACTCTACCCAGGGGGACAGCTTGAGGCTCTGTCTCAAAAAAAAAAAAAAAAAAGAAAGTAGCCACATTGTCAAAGACAAAAGCAAAAATGAAATAAAGCATAAGCCTGAGGACTGTTATAGAATGAAGGAGACAAAGGAGATGGAACAATTAAATGTACAGAGCGAAGTTTGATTAATTCTTGGATAAAAACAAGCACCCTATAATGAACACTATTGTAGTTAGGTTGACAATGAGAGATTTGAATTTTGGTCTGTATTAGATAATAACATTGATTAGATGTCAAATTTCTCGGTCATGTAAAAGGGGATACGTGCTGGAGTAATGTGGATGCAGTGTCACCAACTCTGGAACTGACAAATATGGGCCATGACAGAAAGAGAGGTAACGCAAATGTGGCATAATGTTAGCAACTGGTAAATAAATGTGGGTATTCATTGTACTGTTCCTGAAATGTTCCTATAGGTTTGAAATTTTTCATTGTCAAATTGTTGGGGAAAAGATTCTATGCTGTGCTACTAGTGCACTGTTCCCTTCTCTGGGCCTCAGTTTTCATTCTGTAAAATGGGGAGGGAGTTTGAGGGCCTCCCAGCTCTGTTGTGCAGAGAGTGGATGGTCAGATGCTTATCTTCAGTACACAGAAAGTGCCCCAGAGATAAAGAAAACCAAAGGTGGGGTTTTGTTCCAAGAATTTTTATAGACTGATATTTCTTGTCCAACAGTTTTGACCTTGGAGTTTATCAGAGGCAAGCAGGGTTGATCTCGAAGGCTCAACCCAGAATCACTTATGAGAAAGACTGGGCCCTGGAACTTGTTTTCTCCAAAATGCTATGGTTTCTTGTTTTGTTTTTTTTAAATAAATAAATAAATAAATAAACTAACCTCATCTCTTGCTTTACCCAAATATGGAGAGAACATTCAGAGGAAAATGTTAACACAATAATCTGTAAAGCCCCCAAAATGTTCTGTGAAAGAGAAAAAATTTTTGATTTATAAATAAGTCTGCATTTCAAAGAATGCTGACTTGGGTTTTGCATGTTTGGCAGGGGGGCGGTGGGGAGTGCAAGAGAACTGAGCCACCATGGCAGATTTGCTTGGAAAGACCGATGCTGGTATCAGTGGAGGGGGATTAGGTGAGTGTGCCTGACACCTGCTGGTGTCCCTGCTGCTCCATGTGGACATTCCAAAAAGTCTCTTGCAAAAAAAATTTTTTTTTAATTTCCTTTTTTTTTTTTTGAAACAAGCCTCAAGCTGTCCCCCTGGGTAGAGTGCCATGGCTTCACTGCTCATAGCAACCTCCAACTCCTGGGCTCAAGGGAGTCTCCTGCCTCTGCTTCCCAAGTAGCTGGGACCACAGGCGCCCGCCACAACGCCCGGCTATTTTTTGGTTGCAGCCATTATTGTTGTTTGGCCAGTCCGGGCTGGATTCGAACCCGCCACCTTAGGTGTATGTGGCTGGTGCCTTAGCCGCTTGAGCCACAGGCGCCGAGCCTAATTTCCCTTTTTGAAGGGGCAACTTCCAGGGCACTGAGTTTCAGTCTGACTTTAGATCCATTTATATATCTGGATCTATCATGCTGTCCTTCTGAACCTCTAGCCTGGAGGATATGCTCCTTGGGAGACTGGGAAGCAGGAGGTTCTGTGGCATGAAAGATTAAGTAAAACCCAGCCCCTCACAGGCCTCCGTCCAATTTGAAACATGAGGAGTTTAAGGGCTGGAAATGCTTGACCCAGAAATGTTTCCCCAAGAGCCAGAGAGACCGGATCTGGTCGGTTTCCACACTCCTTTCTTTCTTTCTTTTATTTTTTTTTGAGACAGAGCCTCAAGCTATCCCCCTGGGTAGAGTGCCATGGCATCACAGCTCACAGCAACCTCCAACTCCTGAGCTCAAGCGAGTCTCCTGCCTC